TCTTTGTCTTTTTCTGCCTAATTTGGATCCGATTGTAATTAGGAAAGCTTCTGGTATCTTCTTAGTCATTAGGAAGTAGGAAAACAGGCAGACACCTCTTGTGTGGCCTGTTTTCAGGATGACCTATTTATCATGAGCTCGGTCTTTTCATCATCGGGTTCTTGTTACTTCATAACAATTCTTCTCATTTCTTCCCAGTTATCTTGGAAATGGAATAATGGCAGCACGACTCGCCACGTTGGGCGCTCTGGGTGCAGAAGGTACCGTGTTAAACTTCAAGCTAAAKGTCTCCGTTGTCGTTACGAACGATGCAGAATCAAATAACAGAATGTCGGTTTGTTTGCCATTTATCCAAAAAATATGACGATAAAGATGTTCTTTTCAAGGACGTACTTCCAGTTTCTGTCTTAGTATACGTTCCAAGTAATACCCTGAGAATAATTCAGCAAAAACTGTCTGTTACCAGACTTTGTGGAGCAGGCTCAGCCTTTGATAAGCTTGTGTGAGCACTCCAGTTAGATTAATTGTGTTGGTTCTCTCACAGAGTTGGAGTGGCAGGTTTTTAAAAGCTCCTGCCTGCCCAATAAGTTCAGGGATGAATGGAGCTTTGGAGGACTCACCTACCATGTGAGCGGAGACCCAGGAGGTAAGATCCAGTTGAAATATTAGGAGATATGCTTTGATTAAATCCAACCTTACTGTTTGAGAGGAAGAGCAGGTATAAACAAGGTCACTGGACGTCTTTAAAAATGTTGCCAGCGATTTTAGCAGAAACCATCAAAACAGACGTAGCTGAGTTCCGTATTGATTACAACGCTCTGAGAGGGGGATGAATAATTTACTCCACTGTCTCCGTTTTCCCCCTGCAGGTCACGCAGGATACAAGCTTTGTTATCAGGAAGTACTCAAGGTGGTGAAGGGGATTATTCATCAGCCTTACGAGCTTGAAGACGGCAATGTTTTCTTTGCTTTCTCTTATTACTTTGACAGAGCTGTGGATGCGGGCCTTATCGGTTAGAGCACACACACACACACCTTCTGTCCACACCTTATATAATTATACAAACCCAGCATGCTAGACAGAGGCAGAAAAATGTGAGTCATCTGCTCCTGTATCGGGGGATTTGATGAGCCATACTTGTGGAGGTATTATAGAAATTGCTATCCCTCTGCCGGTCTACACTCTTAAAGCCATCAGCTCTGTTATTAGTTCTATAAAAATCTGCATGTAGATGTGCTTTTGTAATTACCGTTTTGGCATTTTAAATGTATAACGACTCCCCTTGTGTTGCAGACGGAGTCCAGGGTGGAATGCTGCAGGTCAGAGACTTCAAGAAGAGAGCTAAAGAGGGTGAGACAAGCTGAGCTATACATCATTACTATAACAGATCCTCCTCGTATTTAAAATACAGACAGCGTGCATCTGAATGCACCTTAGAGGGAAATGCTACACTCTGTTAGTAGAATACAGATGACTGATTGTCCAACCTAATGGATGTGATTTCTTGTTGTCCTCGCACAGTGTGCAATAAAATAACCAAATACCCGCCCATCAGTCCGTTTCTGTGTCTGGACCTGACCTACATCACCTGTTTACTCAAGGATGGCTTTGGCTTCAAGGACAGCACGGTGCTGCAGGTAAGGCTGCGTTCACAACACTGTAAGCAGTGTTACTGGCCTTGTTATTATGAGGATGCAACAGAAGACACAATCAACCAGTGGCAGTGAGAGTCACAAGCCTCTTTCACGGGACAGTTCCGCAAAATCGCTGCACAGGCCGATCCGGCTTTAGGCTCCCTCGGTTCATTCGTAAATCACAGGAGAAGCCGGCCAGTTCCCGCTCACATGTACGTGTTCAGAAATGAACGTGGCAACACAGAACCAAAAGAGGCGTGGAGCAGATCTCAGCTGGTTTGAAGTGGTTGTCTGCCTCAGATCAAACAAAACATCATCATCTTTAATATTCCCTTGGTAATAAATCTGTTGATTAATCTTGCGGTCACTCACTGACGTCATCTGCTCATTACCATTTTCTGAGTCGCGGCACAGCGGGTCGATTCTGACAAGTCGTCTGCCCGGCTCGGACCCAGCTCTGATACTACCTCTGTTGGTGGCTCAGAGGGGTGTCAGAGGCGGGCTCACTTTACCCCCCGTAACGGCCTCTGTGTTTTTTTCTGAATGATCCAAGGAGGATAGAACAAGTCAGCCCAGGACTGAGCTGTCTTATGAAGGAGACTACAGAGTGGCCACGTCTTTTTGGGTATTTTTAGGGTTTTAAGTTTCAGAAGAAATCTGACTTTTATCACGGTCATATCTGCGCTGCTACATACTTTTAGGCAGTCTTTGTGGCGATAAAGTTCGGAGTTATTTCCTTGTCAGCAGCAAGGAGCTCGCTCATCTTGGGAAAAAAATAGAAAATTTAAATCCAAAAGGAGTCCAACTATGGTGGTTTGACTTAAGAAACCCGTGGCTGGGTGGTCCTTGAAGTTGTCGGTCAGCACTGCATCGGCCCACTTTTTCAGGAGTCGGCAAGTAAAGTTTCTGCTAGTACTCCCACCCCTCGTTTGTCTTCTGAGCTGAGGTGGTCAGATCACGCATCAGTAAGGTTATGGGGCGTCTTCTGAAAGAGCCTAGAATGTTTATGTTCCAGTTTTCATGGCCCTTTTTCCAGGAAATTTGGCACTTCACCTCACGTGACTATCATATTCTCTGGACTATAAATCACTTTGTATTATAAGTCTCACTGGATTAACTTAGTTAACTGTAAAAAAAACAAGTTTCAGGGTTAGCATATCGTCCTTTGTGTCGCCCTGCCCTCTAGTCATTAGCGTCATACTGCTGGATGGTCCGGCACAGTCTTCAATACTTTTCCTTCGAGTTTAGGGTGGTTCATTATTTTTTGTCACAAATAAAATGAATTAAGATTTACACGTTTGAAATATTTTGATCCCTACTGGTGCCTACTTCGAGGCATCTCTCTCTGCAATGTAAACACAACTAGCCACGCTCAATGCAGTCCAACAATCAAGTTAACGATAGGTTCACCAATCTCATTCCAAACCACAATCAGCTTTTATCGTTTTATTCAGTGCAGTAAAAGTAACCTCTGATTTTTGCCAGTCTTTCACAAAATTATCATTCACTCCAAACTTTCTTCATGCTGCCCTATTTTATTTTTTAAACCAGTAGGCTACAGAAACAACAAACTGCAGTAATCAAAGCCTAGAGCGCCTTCTTAAGGCTGCAGATGGTAATGTTTATTCCTCGTTTCATATCAGTCAGTATGAACTAAAAGCATCAGTCAAAAAATGCGTCATATGGAGAAGAAAAAAACATTTGTCACAGGACCAGCCAAACCATGAAACAAAGTGCGACTTATAGTCCGGAAAATACGGCTATACCATCGTAAGTTTTAAATACCATCACCCATATTTTAATACGATATACCAAAATTTTGTCAATCCACCCTAATCAACCTGTCATACAGCCTAATGTTAAGAGTCAGGTTTGGGGCTAGAGCTCCTGCTGCTTTCATCAGTAGATTGAGTGACAGCAACACATCAAATCAGCTTTTTTTTTTAAACACGCCTCTTTTGATCTGCACTGATGAATGCACTCTTAAGAGCACTAAGAGACCATCTCCATCTGTTWCTTCTGAACTACCAGAGGAAGCTTCAACACAAAATATGCTGTTGGTCATGTAGCGGTACTGTCTTCTGAAAGTGTCTTAAGACCATCTTGTGTTGAGGACATAGTTATTTAGGCCGTACATAATCTCATGTCATATTAGAGCTTGTAGTGAGTTATTCATCTACYCCAGTGGAGAACTCTCTGCTACTAACACACCAAGTTTTACCTCAGTATCTGTCAAAATGACTTTGCATTGATTAGCTGTGGTGGCCATCTTGAATTGGCCTGACTCCAAAAGTTAATCATTTGAGGATAAAACATCCAGTGGTTACTTTAAGAGGTTCATGAGTTTGCTAAAAGACAAAAACATCATCTTAGCCAGCAGACAATTAAAATGGAATGAAGTTTTTGTAAAGTAAATAAATTATTAAATATTCTACCAAGGCTTGCCCTTTAATTCACCTAACACGTGAACAGCCGGAATTTATTCCTAAGAGGTAAATTATTGAAAATTGACCATAACAAGGACGACACCTACAGTTTTTAAATCAGGTAATGAGTCAGTTCTTCACAAAAACTGTTTTGTTTTTATTTAGTAAAGACAAACATGATCTGAATGATTATTTTCTCCTTCTAGCTGACAAAGAAAGTGAACAATGTCGAGGCTAGCTGGGCTCTCGGTGCCATGTTGGACCACTTCCACAACCTGAAGATCCACTGAGGAGCGGTGAAAAACAAAACAAAACCGAGGATGATTTATGTGCTGCTCACCAAACAAACACATGATGTAACGTGTACTGTCTTTTCTAAACACCCCCATACATCAGCCATTCGTTTAAATAGACAGAAATAAGCTCTAGTAAATGTAAATTTATTATTTTTTAAAAGCCATTTCTCTCAAGTGGCAATATATTCTGCTGTAAATCTGCAAAGTGTTGCATTAGCAAGAAGTGAAGCACTGCAGGCTGAATGAAAGATGTCAGGCAGAACTAACACAATTACTGTAACGTAAGTGGAGCTGCTGTTTTCTTGAAACACATGTTTTACTCAGGACTGATAAACAAGAGCAGCCTGGCTTTGCTGTGCAATAACCAGTGTTCCCACGCTGGGCTTTAGCGGTTTTTAATCTCAAGCATTGTTAGCGGAGTTACAGTACATTTGTGTCTGGTACATTTAAGTGTAACTGATCAAAATGAAACGGTTGTTTATCATGAGAAAATGCACATAAAACTTTTAGAAACTCTTTAACCCATCTCAGTATCTCTTTGGGATCTTTTGTTAAAAAAAAACACGAGGAACAAAATGTTGCTCGTATAAACTGTCATTTCACACTTCAAAATAAAATCATCATAGGTTGATAATTACAAATATCTACAAGAGTTAAATTCTGAATGAGCTTCTAATATTTCTTTTTCTATTTTGAGCAATTGTCTATGATTGATGATTCCACGTGTGACCATCAGTCCAGTGCAGCTGAAATAAACAGTGTGTGATGTCTGTCATGTTGGGAAGCTACAGCAAAGCAACCACGTCCTCTCCATAAGCGTGACCCTCCGCTGTCATGGTCACCAGCTCATGTGGCTGAGAGAGAACCACCACAGAGTCCGCAGAGGCTACGGGAAAAACACAAACAATAGGTTAAATTAAACAAAGTCAAAAGTGTCTTTCCAGTGTGCATTCAATTACATAAAGGATTATTGTCAAATCAAACTAGTATTTACTGAGAGACCTCAGAGCCAGCAGGGAAAACGTCTCTACCAGAGACAGCTCATTCTTTAATATACTCGTAATCATAGGTATTATACTATCTAATCTTCAAAATAAAGTTGAACTTTCTTGTTTGGGTCTTCACAAATTATTATTGTGTAGCTTAAACAGATGAACAATGTTAGAAAAAAATTGCTATGTTCAATAACGGTAAATACTGCAGTGACTATACCAACTGCAGTAAACCCACATTTCCCTCACGTTCTCTTTGTCCCCATCGATCTAAACCAGGTGTGGTGTCAAAGTCAGCGAGTGTCCCTTTGATCGAACAAATGTAGTGTTTGCATGTAGAACATGAATGCAAGTTTAATATATAAAATGTTCTATGGTTCAATCTAAGCAGATATTGATGACTTTAAATTTGTGATCCATGCTTCAGGGTTGGTTTGTAACACTAAACATAATCTGGACAAGTTTAGCAGTCTGATGACAAGCATAAAATACTGACTCAGTCTGAGAGTGATGGTTTAGTACAACAGCTTTAAGACAGACTTTCCTAGAAGAGACAGGTGAACTACTTCTGTGACTGAAGAGGCGCCAAGGTACAGTGGTTTGCAAAAGTATTCATACCCCTTGAACTTTTCCATATTTTGTCACATTACAACCACAAACATAAATATATTTCACTGGAAT